TTTAAGATTTGACCTAATTTATTTTCTGAATTGTCTACATACATACATATTACTACCTTTGTTATTCTTATTGCCATCTGCATGAACCTTATTATCACTATTTTGTTATCATTATAATCATCGTTATTAGTGACGTTGGAAACATTTAACACATTATTGATATTATTTGTTTCACAAACCGTCATTGGTTAAAATTTATATACATAAATCTATGTAAATTAGAGGAAAGCATGAAGATGTAATTGATAAAACAATATTGTTCTCCTATGTGTTTTGTGCTAAATTAAAACAGTACATCAATCCATGAAGTCCCCATCTTTCTGTTTGAGCCTTGTAAAGAGGTGTAGACTGACTGGGTAGGATCTTCAAGACTCTAAGAATCAGTTGATTGAGACACTTGGTGACATATATGAGTATGATAGTAATATATAGAAAAAGAGGTAGATACAATGGATATGAATGAAGATGTACTGGTTAGTCATTGCTGATGGTTAGAGGATTATTCTGCATAGTTTAGTAGTTATGTGCTCTTGAATTGGTAAAGCACTTGGAATTTAGATTTAAAGCTAAATTTTACTGATTATTTTGATGAAGCAACTTTTTCTTTCAAACTGTGATTTTTTGTCATAAGTGAACGTTAGTGATATCACCTTAGTTTATGTTGGCTGTAAAGTAAAGTGAGTTTTTCAATTGTGTGTGTGTGTGTGTGTTTGTGTAACCAAAGAAAGCTATGTTGGAAAAATTATATTTACAAGATCGAGAAATGTTGCTTGAAATATCTGCCGATCTTGAATGTCGATCAAAGTTATAAGACGAAATTTTTTTTATTTTGCAAAGATGTTTTAGTTTCAGCTTATAAACATAGTAGGAGTACGTTAGATGCCGCTGTTGTCCTCCACCATAGCATAGTCTCTAGTTTAGATAAAGGAGCTAAATACGTTCGCTGTGCCTTCCTTGATTACACATCTGCATTTGACTCTGTTCCCAGGTCTCTCTTGCTAAGTAAGCTTGCTGCAACACAGGCTGAAAGCTGGACAAATAAGTGGTTGCATTCCTATTTTTCTGAAAGGAAGCAGTACACCGTCTACAATGGAAAATCCTCCACTACCTCACTTACTTTAGCTGGTGTTCCTCAAGGTGCTGTTCTTTCTCCCTTTCTGTTTTCGTTTTTCTTACATGACTTGCCTCATTCTGATGTAGCCACTTTTGTTAAGTATGCCGATGACCTCTCGGTTTCTATGCCTGTCAACTCTCAGTCAGATTGTTCCAAATTAAATAGCTTTCTGTCGGAAATTAGTCAGTGGTCCTCTTCAAACGGACTTAAGCTTAATCCGTCTAAATGTCAGGTAGTCAATTTCACTTTCAGACGTAAATGTGACCTACAGCAACTAGTTAGCTCACATGGCCCCACTCTCATTGACGGCACAGAGGTTGAAAATACATCTAATGTCAAGTACCTTGGGCTGAGTTTTTCCACCGATCTTTCCTGGTCTTCCCACATCTTGCTAGTTACTAGAAAGATGTTTCGCTTAACGTTCTACATTAGGAAATTTAGGCAGTCTGGTATAAAGCAATCTTTACTTTCTCAATTTGTAAATTCTTGTATTCTACCCATCCTCCTTTACTGCTCCCCATTAGTCTTTCCTGGACTACTTAAGAAAGACTTTGCTTCGCTGAGAAGGGCACTAAAAGCTGTTAGTAGGGCAAGTGGGATATCGTTAAACCAACTGGTGAACACTATTGTAGATAGACATATTATGTCATGTAAGAAACTAGCGAATACAATATTGTCGGACCCCGAGCATCCTCTCTATACGCATCTATCTCCTTGCATTTCATCTGGTAGAACTAGAAGCAGCTATAGGAGGCTATATGCTAGGACTACCAAATACAAAAACTCCACAATACCATATCTGGCACAGCTGTTATGTGATGAGAAATCCGTTAGGTATGACACGATAAACTTACTGCAGCACTCTAACAAATAGTCCCATTAGTTTTTGTTTTCCTTTCCTCGTTACTATTACACTGTTGTTCTCATCTTCTATCACACATCAACTTTATATTTCAAATCCTGTGGTGCATTGTTTGAAATGAAATACTCTACGCTGTTTTTTCTTAATTTTTAATTTTTATTTATTTATAACTTATTTATTTTATTTTTATTTATTTATCTTTGATTTTTAAAAATCTTATATAATTTATGAGGTAATTAGATGCAATATACTGTAATGCACGCTGAAAATTCCATACCTGTACCACAAATACCGTTTGGAATAAAGCTGTTATTATTATTATTGTATGCAATGCTTCACGTTTTTAGATGTACCACCAGTCATCTTATTCACTTTCTTCTTATCACCATAATCATCTACTTTTAATGAAAAAAGATTCCTAACGCTCTTAATCAGTTGTTTCCCACTTAAGTACCTTCCTAAATGTTATTCAAGCCGTGTTTTTTTCTCTGTGATGTCATGTATGAAAGTCAAGATTTTCCTATTTGAGGTGGACGTGCCCATCTGAATCTTTGTTTAAAGACTGTATGTAGATATTACTGAGGATCGATGGTTGCGGTCTATATGCACCTGTTTTCGTCTTCGTTAGGGATACAGTATCGTATACTTATTTTCTCTATTATCTCTTATCTTCGGAGACTACGACGTATGTTCATGTTATTTCCATTCTTGTATCTTTCACTTTCCATTTAATGTACAAAAATTGGAAGGTGTGGGGTAACTGTGGATCAATGCACAGTGTGTTACTAGATCTTGGTCTGGTTCTGATTTATAGAAGCCAGTCCTGAGTTTTGGGGATTTTTCACCCACCTCAATATTTTTAATGGCTTCGAGTGAAAATTTTTCATCAAGTGCCAATCTGTAAGTTGAATGGAAGTAACTGTGGGAGTAGTTACACTGGAAGAACAGAAAGAAGCGCATACCTACGATTTTCTGAACATGTACCGAAAAACCTATGATTAAAGGGAGCAAATGCTTTAAACAGTGCCATCCCCGGGCATCTCCTTGACACGGGTCATGAAGTGGACTTCTCAAGATAGTTCAAAATTACCGATAGGCAAAAAAGTTTTGATTCAATTCAATCGCTCTGCACATTTATCTTTCGCTACTTTTGTGTGCTATAGGCAGTAGGGCAACTTCAACTTTTGCACATAAGACACCCAACAGGCGAAAACACATCAATGACTTTAAATGCAGCGAGTATTTTCACCACATGAGTTCAAATTATTATAAAGCTGGACAAAAGTCTAATGCCTTCTTCAACAGACCTGCATGTTAAGGACGATAAAAACGAAACATTCCAGTAATGCTTGGATGTACGATGGAATGGAAAGAGAATTTGTTCTTGTTGAGGTAGTATGACTACCGAATGCCTGAATAGAGCTATTTACGGCCACATTATTCTGTTGTTCTATTCGCTAAAACAGAGAGAATATCAAGGAAACATTGTTTGCAAGGTCCAAGCTACCATTAAGTCAGATTTTGTATCTTCGTTGTCAGAGCTGAAACGATGAACTCCCCCTCCCGTCAACCGTTTAGTGATCCCAGCATTGTGGGGTTATCATCTCATGGAATATGAAACAGAATTATTACCAAGAGACAGTGTTATGATGCATACTGACGGAAATGCCTGATAAAATAGAAACACAGTCGAGGCTGTCAAAAAAGTGAATAATGCCTAGGTGCCTGATTTATTTAGCACAACCTCACGTAATGTATGTATTTTAAAAAAGTACCGACAACTTTAATTCCTGTAATCACCAGATTGTTAAACCCAGGATCCGCAATATATTCGTACTGATGAATGGAATGGGTACAAAAGTTAATCTATCGGTGATATTCACTATTTGATGAGGCTTGTAAACCCCTCTACTGACACTCATACAAATTCACTACAAGGATTCTGAGGGAGATTAAACAACAGGATTAAAACGATAACCGGGTCTAAAAACCATTTCATCTACAGTCAACTAGATGAATATATGTAAAGAGTTGTTAAAAATTTAAAAGGGCGTGCGCCACACCCCCCCCCCGGGTTGTATAGTGTGGAAAAGCCAGTGGTGGCCAAACAAAAACATGGCCTCATCAATCCATGAAATCCTTGACAGTCAAACTGAGTCAGGTAGGGAGATGCAGACTCCCGGGTTGGGGGCCTCGGGACTCTAGGAATCAATGGCTGGAGACAATAGGTGACATGGCTCAAAATCGTTGTCAATGGCCAGCGCAGATGTATTCAGTCTCTGTAATCTTTCATGTTCCTTTCTACCATTACCCATTCTGTTTCACTCTTATACTTGTCAAACTCTATTGATTCTCTTCACTCATCTTCTTGTCTACCTCTGTGTGCTATTTGGAAGGTGGCAACTCGAACTGGTGCACTTTGGGGCCAAGTTCTATGTTGAATCCAGACAGACAGACAGACAGAGTTTGGTTTAACTTCTCTGTTGAGACTCCATTCAGATATTCGGATACATTTTAACGATATGTTAAAGAAAGGTGTCTAGCATAAACGTTCTTATGTCTAAATATTTTTTTAGTCCATAAAATAGGCTGTTTTTATGCCGCTGATGCGTTCAGCGTCTTTGGTGCGTCCAACCATCTAGAGTGGCTATTCTGTAACTTTCTTGTCTCACTTTTCTGCAAAGTTCTATGCTGAAAACTCAGACAGATAAGAGTATTCATTATAACAGAGGTTTTTGTATTTCCCAATGAATGAAAAACAAGACGATATTGTTTTTACTGACGTTTCGCTATTTAATGCTAATAGCTTTCTCAAAGTATTATACTTTGAGAAATACAAAAACCTCTATTATAATGAATATCATATACCCAATGCCCAAATATTTTCAAACCGTTAAAAGTGAACTTGGTTTGGACATATATAAGATAAGAGTATTCCTCAAAATTTAATGATGAAAGCTATTTTATCGCTATAAACAGTATAAGGGATGTGAATCAATTCATAAACACATCTTTATCACTTACCTACAATCAGTACATGTGAAGAAGATCGACGGATCATAGCTGATTCACTATCCAATTCCGAATAATTTGATAATGGTATATCCATATCTGATTTATTCATACAACTATCCTCTTCTTCTGCTTCTTCATCTTTATGGTCATCTTCTTCCACAAGTGATGAATCCTTGGACTTATCATCATCATTTGAATCTTCACTAAAAGTGAATCCAATTCTATACGATACAGAATCATCTTCATCCTGGGGATCGGTTTTTCGCCTCTTATGCTGTTTAAGATCAGTGTCACAATCATTAGCAGTAGTTGTAGTAGTATCAGTAATGCTAGTTGAATGACGATTTTTTCTACCACCATTACGACGACGTTTACCATTAATTCCAGTTGTTTGTGTACCTCCGAACAAAGCTAATAATAGGCCAGCTTTAATTAGGCCACGACCACATATACTAGGGCATAATGAACAAACTAATAAACGAAACAGATTTGGTTGTTCACTAATTTCACGAATAGCATATAAATCTTTCACTGAAAATTCACTATCTGGAATATACAAAAAGGAAGAAAACATAAAAAGTATATTGAAATTTCATAACATATATGTTCCTTTTAATCTCTCATTTCGTTACGTTCCGAGTGGAACATAAGGTTTCAAGCCTTAGCTCTGAACATTTACAGTGGTGTGTTTAGGGTGAGGTTGCTAGCCACACATCCAACCTCCAGATTGTTGAAGCACAATCTAGGAAAGACCAATCGCCAGCCCATGACACTTCAAACTGCATATATCAATTTCAATGTGTTTGTGGAAACATATATGTAGGTCGTACAGAAAGGCAATTATCTTCTCGCATGATGGAGCACTTACCAAAGTGGTTGAAAACAACTTAAGTCAAAGCGCCAAAAAGCTCAAAAACAAAGCACTTTGTGGACTACGGTCATGATATCGACGCTGTCATGTCATTCACTGTTATCAGCAGACAAAGAAATAGGAAGATGCTTGCAAATGCGGAGGCTTGTGCAATTAGAGTTTATAAACCAGGTCTCTGTGTACAAAAAGAAATGGTCGTCACTCTGAATCTACCATGGTAAAACGTTTTATTTACCAACTGTTATTATTATTAACACTTTATTGCACCTTTTATTATTACCATTTCTGATTCATTTTGAACTATCTTTTATCAGTAGCATTATCTTAACTCGTTTCAGAATTATCATTATAACTTTTATTATTACTCATTTCCTAATTCTTGATGCATTTAAGTTTTTTTCTCGAATGCCTAATTGTTTAGCTAATTGATATAATTGAAGCGTAATGCATTTTACCTTAATTTTAAACCCTCATACTCCTCTCCCCTTATCTATTTGAACATGATCCGGAAAACATTCACATGTCGTTTTGCATGATCAATTCAATGTAGTTTATTTGCTTATCAATCTTATATCTCCGAATGTATTTCAAATAGTATATATGCCCATGTATGTAGAGTATTCAGCTGAAGAGTTCTACCGAAATTTGATGAATTCATTAAATCCTGCTTTAACTTTTTTGCTTGTTTTAAATTCGTATCGGGAAATAAATGTTTCTTATTTCTTAACTCTCAACTATTCAATAACAGACTAAAAAGGGAAGTTAGTCAGCTGCAGTGAGTAGGGCATGAGTAGCAGATACACATTCACCACCGGTCCCTAGATGCCTGGTACTTTTCAGTCATTTCCTCCGCCATGTAGCAAAGTCTTTTCTAAGCAACCCAGAAGAGTTTAACGGGGTGCAGTAAGGAAGAGTTGGCAGGATGCAAGAGTTAACGTACTATAACATTCGATTCTGAGTGATATCACACTGTCTTACCTTCCTCAAGAAGAAGGTTAGACAAAGTAGTTTTCTAGGATGTGGAGCGACTAGAAAAGATCAAATCCAGGATATTTAAAATTTGACTTCATTACCACTTCAGTTCCTTTATTTTGCAAGAATGATAATAAACGAATTAAATCATGGAACTCTTGTTTGTATCTGAAAATGAAACCAACAATCTTAAATTTGGGATTTAAGTTAAAACTGTTCAGCAAGGACTGCTGACTAATTTCTGATGCAAAGTCATTCATTTTGGAACAATCTGATCGGAAAGTAACTGGGACAATAACAGTCAGGTCGCTAGTACACCTAACGAAATTAGTCTCATCAGATGGAGGCGGTCTGCTTAAATCACTGTGCTACCGAAATTGCTTTCCGCCAAAATGCTCAATTTTACCTGAATTTATCATTGTTTTGATCATCTAGTGATATCAAATGACCTATACACAAACTTGCGGGCTGATTTAACTTGCTTCCAAGTAAACGCTGTGCGATTCTCCAAAGAAATGAAGATCTACTGGAAATTATTACTTTACATGTAAATTCTGTATGGAGAAAAAAGTATTCCAGAAGTAAATAAGCTGAAAATTTTCTCACTATATGTTCGTATATTGTCTAAAATAAGGCTTTGTTATTGTTATTGAGGCAGGTCATGTAAGGAGAGAGAAAAGCGCCTTGAGGGACGCTGACCTCAGTACTCAAAACAATCGAAGACTCTCCTTTATATACAGTATTACGCATTTTGCAGTAGAGATGTGATTGTACCATTAACTTTCTAGCCTAAATAGCCTTGTTGAAGCAGTATAATTTGTAGTGTGATGTTACCAGTCAACAGCAAATAGTATGAACACGTGACTTGTAAAAGTACCCCAAGGAAGGATTGTAAATACTTTCACATTCAATCCGAAAACTGCAAGAATTAAAATGGTGAAGCTAGAGTTAAGAATCGACGAAACTCCGCAGTAAGGTGTATAAGTTGTGTTCATGTGAAAATTACAAAGTGACGCAATCTACCTTGGAAAACTACGAAACAGATAACAGATAAAAGACTTAAAAGTAAAACTGACAAAAACACATACAGTTAATTCTTAATATTACAATGCAACTCAGTAATAAGAAGTATCCTCAAAAACGCAATAACTGTTAACAGAAATAATCATCACTTACCTAGGCTGGATATTACTCTGCCAATATCTACATCATTAGTGATATCATTATCCGTAGGTCCTGTTTCATTCGTCGATAAAATAAGCAGTCGTTGATTATCATTCATGCCTAGTTGACCACCGCTGTCTCTTCCACTATTACAACGATTGCCACTGCCACCACTTAAACAAATTGAACTATTCACATTCAGTATTAAACTAAACATTGTTGTGCCTCGACGACTTGACCAAGATGATGTATATGCACTGGAAGATGATGATGACGCGCCTAAACCATCAGTGCTAATGAGACCAATTAAACCAGTTAAGTGTAAAACATCTCCCGGAATACATGAATCAATTAAATCACGCTGTAATCGACAAGCCAAACATCGCGAGCTTCGACCAATTGATGTAACACTAGATGATGATGTAGACTCATGATGATGTCCATCTGTTTCATGGCTATCAGATGCTTCTTGAATTGTAATTATCTACATTAAAAGATTGGGAGAAAGAGGGAGAGAAAGGAATATAACATAAATGGTTATCACATATAGGTGTGGAAAAATTATGAAAAACATCAATGTGGTATAAACTTTCCTAACAGAAATCTAACCCATTCTACCTAATCAGTTTAAAATATCTGTTTATTATATGATTATCATTATTGTTATTATTCTCTAAGGTACTTTTGACTCGAGACACTAGTTAGTAACTAGTGTAATATGTCTAATCCTTTGTGTGGTGCAGACTAATTTCTATTAGTCAAATTTGCAATGTAGCCAAAATGTTAGGTGGTTCACCATCAAGATGCTCTGCAATGGGAATTGTTGATATTAGATGGTTGGAGGACATGAGTTACTTCAAGATTGCAGATACTCCTTGATGACGAGTGTAAACTAGCACGAAACCTAGGTCCATTGCTTCCTGCCGATTGCGTCCAACCATCCAATATCAACCATTCCCATTGCAGTATATCTTGATGGTGAACCACCTAACATGTTGGCTACATTGCAAACTTGACTAATAGAAATTAGTCTGCACCACACAAAGGATTAGACACATTACACTAGTTACTAACTAGTGTTCAATAAAAAGTATCTATTACATGTCTTTACAAGATTCAAGCATCACTCATCGTTCTAAGACTCAATCACCTTCGTAACATTACAGTCCTCCAAGAAGTCATTCGTGAGCCCGAATAGCTCAGTGGCAATGTCTCTGACTGCAGCACTGAGTGACGCGGGTTCGAATCTCAGAAGGGACATAAGTTCATTAAAGGTTGCAGATACTGCTTGCTGACGAGTGCGGACTAGCCCGAAATCTAGGTCCAAGGCTTCCTCCCAATTGCCCCCAATCATCGAAATCTCTTGGGCTCCAAGTGAAATATAGGGATTCAGCAGGGCATCTCCGTTTCACCTTGTTTTTTGGCTCCACGATTGTCCATAAGCTTTTATTTCGTCTCCAAGTGATTTCGGCCATGTTACTCTCACACATTTGTCCAACTCGTGGTTTACCAACCGTTATTACTTATTTTATTCCTTTAACGTCCAAATGGAACGTAGGAGTTCAAGCTAGAGCTCTGAAGTTTTGATAGCCGTCATTTTACTCTTGTAGGGTTGTGATTGTTAGCCTCAAGCTCAACCTTCCATCCTTGCTGGTGCTACTAGCGGATTTATCGAAGTTTAAGAGTGCATCGGCCAAGAATAGAACCCCTGACCGCGTGCGTGGTTTGCGAACATCCTACTGCTAAACTACCAACGCATTCATATACCTCATAATTCATAGTTAATGTACAACATTCCACTACAAATGTAGAATGAATATCAACAAAACTTGAAAGATTATGGAGATAGAAATAAATTGGGTTAGTGATTGATGTTATCTGAGGTAAAGTCCAATCTTCTAGATATAAATAAATAGAGGTTTTTTCAGGATTTCATCATGAGCTGATATTAGTTAGAGAACCATTGGAAAACCTGGGAGTACTGGACAGCTGTTTCGTCCTAGTTTGGAACTCTTCATCAGTACGCGCCACCGGGATTCGAACCCAGGACCTTCCGGTTACAAGGCGAGCTCGTACACCATTTAGCCACTGGGACCCGATCCAATGGTCCTTGAATTCTAGCTTCTGCCAATTCACGACCTAGCGCGACCGCTAGCCAATGTCTTCGATGAGTATTTGTCCTCACACCCAACCCGCTGCACCCTACTGGTCACGACTTCCCACTGGAACCCAAGTAACTACCTACCTGAATAGGGCCAGTCGCCAGTGAGCATCTCATTGGTATTTAAGTGTTGGTTTGTAGGGATTTGATTGGTTTGAGGATTTCAGGTTTTTTTATTTCCCCATGAATGAAAAACAAAACGATATTGTTTTTACTGACGATTCGCTATTTAATGCTAATAGCTTTCTCAAAGTATTATTAAAATAAAAAGAAGTGACAAGGACCCATAAATAATGTCTTCATTTTGTGTCCAACCTCCTAAATTTAACTAAATAAGGTGGGAACCTGGACAAAACTTATGACAAGGTATATGAAATAGCAGGCATGACCAACTGGTTTATTGAATAACAAAAAAAGGATTAATGTGGTGCTTTACATTTGTGCAGTACTGATTTCGAATATTTAGAGCACATATAAGCACATACAAGTCTAAAACAAATTCGAAACACCCATACCATGCAGTTTTATTTTTACCTTTAGTTGTAGTCAATTAACTATTTTAAAATAATAATAGGCTATAAAATGGAAAAAACATTTCAATAAATAATAATCAAATAAATTACACACACTAACCTGAGTATCTACTGTCAGTGTATCTGGATGATTCAATAGTGGTTCAAAACTTCTTGATCGACAATCTTTTGTCGGACATTTACTTGGTACAGCATAACTCCCATTTTCTGGTAATATCAGAACTTGTTTACCTTCACAACGACAACATTCAAAAACTAGACGATGGCAAACTGGTTCAACCTATATTTTAATATGGGAGAGAGAGTGAGAGAAAGAAGCAAGTGATTTGGAAGCAAATTTTATTTTCAACAATTATTGAATATATGACAGAAAGAGAAACTATTCAACCCAACAATCATGAGGAGGTTTACACATTAAGTATTATTGCTTTTATTCGTCTCTTGGATTTCTATGCGGAATATACGGCTTCAGCAGCACATCAACATTTTACTCTTTTCTTTGTTGCAGCCCCCTTAGCTGGTTCCACATATAAGACCTTCATGTCACAATTTGAAGCTGAATTCGTCATCCATCATTCGGGTCTCACTCTAGAGCCTGTCGAGCGTATGGTGTCACTCAATGGTCTTCTCAGTATATGTCCAATCCATCTCCATATGTTTCTGCAGATTTGTTGGTAGATAGGTCCCTTGGTTAGTTTATGCACGCTTCATATATCTGATATCCTACACCATGTGTTGATGTTGCTTCGTTCAAATTCATTGAGGGGAATTCGTGTATGAAATAAATTGCTAATAATGATATTGTCAAAAACACATTGAGGAGACTGTTTACTGACGTCGCGCGCCAGGCCCTTGAATGGAGCCCGAATGGGAAACAGTGAATCGGACGTCTGAAGGTGACATGAAGTAGATCAAAACTTATGATAAATCGTGGAGCTAGCTACAAAGGACTAGAGAGAACAGAATAAAATGGATATAGGCTGCAGATGCTATGTGTTCCATTCGGAGCCCAAGGGAATAAAAACAATATGATGATAAAGCAGCCGTAGAACATAAGGGTAGGCAAAAAATTAGGTTTCGTAGAGATATAAATCTTGATGAAACAAAGTTCAAACTTTTTTACTTTACTACAGATGGCAAGAGAAATTAATAATCGAAAATTTACCAACTAATGCTATCACTTCTGTTGGTGTCACAATGATGACAAGTGTTCGGAGATAGCTCAGTTGGTAGAACGGAGGATTGTAGATTCTTAGGCCAGGGGTTTGTATCCGGCGCTTGAACTAGTGGGCTTTAAATGCTTCGGTGGTTCGACAATAGAATGTCTGCCAGCCACCCACGTGGTCAGGGTTAGAGTCTCGGTAGACCCACTACTAAACATCACCTAGCTGGTAAAAAGTGAAGGTTGGGCGTAAGGCCAAACATCCCACTCCGCAAACAGACACCAGTGCTATTGAGATTTCAAAATGCTTGAAGTCCTAGATTCCACTCATAACACCAAAGAGTGAAATAAACACAGTGATGTGAAAAAAAAACATTAAAGTAATAACAACAGCAAAACGAAATACTCACCGGACCAAGACGTACAACAATTCCTTTCACAGAAATAAATTGTCCTAAATGATGAGCACGTAATTTACGTAACGGTGTAATCGGTGAATGGTTTACAATACGAGCAGCAATATAAGCAGGTAAACGTTGGTTTATTTCATTTGATTCACTTTTAACTAGAAGATAAGAAAAAAAAGAGAACTTCTAAAGTTACGACGTTTGAAAAGTGATGAAGTAAAATGAATTAATTCTAGGCCAGAAGTGGGGTGGTTTGAACTGATTTGGTTCTTTGAGCTGAGTCAAACAGGGTACACCGCTGATGAACTCAGAGCTAAACGGTCATTTGAAGCTTAGCTAACTTCCATCTGGCTGACCGCCAAGCACTACTGATTGATGTGAGTGACGTCAAACTACTCATTTTAATTAATCAGTAGTGTGTAGCGTTATGAATTAAGACTGTATTGGATTATAAAATACAAAAATATTCATTCATACAAGATATGTTTCTACAACTATATATTGGTTTATCCAACTAAAAAAGATACTCGTAATGAGCAGATTGTAACTCTGTTTTCTTCCTACACGTTCCCCAGTGGAACATTGGGCTTCAACCTAGTAGCTTGAAGTTTCTGCAGCAGTGTTTATTTTACAGGATGGGGTTGCTAGCCTCATGCCCAACCTTTCCTCCTTACCAGCAATATTTCTGGCTCATCGAGGTAAAGGAGTGCGTCGGAGGAGGACCGAACCCCGTACCATGTGCAGGGTCGGCGAGCGTGCCAACCGCTTTACCACCGAAGCTGAGTGGGTAGCAAATCAGACTGGAAAAGTTTTTCATTGTTAACTGTAAAATACAATCATTCATTGTAACAGCCACTAACATTATACTCACTTTTTTAGCATTGATTGCAGCCTATTAACATAAACAGAACATTTCTAGTGTATTTTGACACATGTTGAATTGTATCTGGCATCAGAAAACGCGTTAGTTTTGCGATAAATTTCGCTCCTTCATCCAATCTTAAAACAAACGCACCGAAAATTTACAGGGAGAGTGAGTTTATTAACTAAGGCTGAACTTCAGTGACAATTAACATCAGGTGAGAAAAACCATTTCGAGCAAATCAACGACAATGCAGGTATCGATGGTTCGATGGTAGAATGCTAGCAAGACGTACACGTAGTCCATGTTCGATTCCCCCCTCCCAAAGCACCCCTAAGCCTTGTCTAACTTACTAGCCAATAGTAAGTTTGAAAAAGAGGGGAAGTTGGATGTGAGATCAACGACCCCACTGCACAAAAATGACACCACTACTGAAAATTTAAAACACCTGAAGCCTTGGGTTTCATTGGAAACGCAAAGAATAAAAAAGCAATATATATTCACAACTAACCTTTAAAAACATCAGGTATAGAGTCTTGCTTATACGCTGCACGATAACACAGTGTGTGCAAAGCTAAACCAAGTGAATGTAATATAATCTCACAGTGTTCAGCGCATTCTACACCGCCTGATGACATATTATCACTAAAACATTTATTCATATCAAGTTTATCTTGTAATAATTTAGCATGCATAAGTGTTGAATAATCAATAAGAACAGCTCCCTGTGCTTCAATCTTCATCCAATCCATAGTATGTCCAACAAGATTTGGTAAAGTGTCTATTCCATAAGAATTAGGCAACAGGTTATATCCAGATTTTTCTATTAAATCAGTAAGGAAATCAAGCATAATCTGAAAAATGGAGAGAAATAAACGAAACTGGTTAATTTTGCTAGTGTTTATTGGATATTACGAGTATACACATAAAAAGCAATAAAATCAGTTAGCTCATGACTGTATGAGTTCCAAAATAAATCTGCACAAAACATCAGCAGTCCAAATCACCGCACTCCATATATCATGCAAAAGTAGAGAAAAGAAATTCAGAACTATAATGAGCAGAAATGAAAGGGACATAAAACAGTAACATGGGAAAAACATGAGGACTTAATGGGACTGGAAAACCACAAATAGTGAATGTATCTGTGCCACTGAAAACAGTTTTGAGCCACATCATTAACAGTCTCAAGGCGTTGGATTTTAACAGCCTAAGGACTCCTGCCAGGCAGTCTACACTTCCCTACGTGGCTCTAACTAGCCATCAAAATCCTCATGAATCAAACTCATGTTTTAGTCTGACCACCTCTGTCTGTCTGTCTGTCTGTTTTCGACATAGAACTTTGCACAAATGTGCGGAAGTTCAAGTCGCCACACTCCGTGTAGCACGCGAAGCAAGAGAAGAAAGTACAAGAAAAGCATAATAGAAACAGTGAGCAGAGGTGTGAGACAAAGGAGTAATAAAGAAATACAAAACAGTTCCATTGAAGATCATAAGTCACAAGGAGTGGATGCATCTGCGCCACTGACAACGATTTTGAGCCATGTCACCAATTGTTTCCAACCATAGATTTTTACCGTCCCGAGGACCCCAGCCTGGAAGTCTACACCTTTCTACGTGGCTTAGACCAACTGTTGTGGATTTCATTGACAGATGCCAAGTTTTTGTTTGACCGCCGCTAGCTTTTTTCCAGCCTGACCCTATATCCGCTAACATAGCTCGTCGAGGGAGGCGATGGCTTGGCATACGTAACACATGTCCTAACCACCTCTAACTGTTTTCCGACCTAACCTCATGTTAGGCAACATTGATCGTCAAGGAAGTCGGCGCCCCGGCATGTGTAGCCCGTGTCCTAACCAGTTAGTTTATCAAGTGATGCATTCTACTTCCTAATTTTTATCTTGAATCAATTAGCACGATTCATCTTAATTGTTGTGTCTGAAACATAAATGCGTTATACACTACTTCTAAATTGTATGCTGTCCACTTATCTAAGAAGTTAACATTTGTACTACAGAGTTACAGGCTATTTGGAATGATTACTTTTCACTCATTTCTACTGAATTATGTTTGTCAACGTTTAGTGATGTATACTTTGTCCGGTTCAATGGATTAAACACTACTTTCAGTAAACTGGTCCTCATTTCGAATCCTTCCCCGTGCACTTCAGCCTGATCACCTCTTACAATAAAAGCGGGTTATATCCTGATACATGGAGAATCTGTTCCGACAGTATTTGTCGAGCATTCCACCACTGTACCACCGACGCACAAACATATAGATTAACACACCATAATATTAACGAATATCATATTTGATGTAGCTTTGTTTAACAGATTGATGAAAGTGTGACGACACTATGATATAAATTAAAAACAAAAGCAAAGATATCTCCACAGGATTCAATCAGAGTAGATCGCCGTTTTGAATCTTACCACTATTTCAGATCTCACTTAAATTTCTATTGTCAAGCCATACAAAAACTGATATAATCCTTACAGGCTTTTGTATAATTGAACGTTCAGATAACAGAAGTGTACTTCAGCATGAAGTTATTATAGACCTGCGGCTCATCAGTTAATACAATCAGATTTTGAAGATCAAAATCATATCTCATATACTATATATTGCATAAACGAGTGGTTTTATCATCTCCCAACACGGATGTAGTTCGTAGCTTAGGGTACTGAGTTATAATAAATATAAATAATAATACTGTTTGTTGTAAAATAATAACACCCTAACAGAACACTATGCCTGTAAATTACTTCTCTAATACAAGAAAACAGAAAGGAATTACAAGTAGGCCAAAAGAAATGCCTTAAATCTAACAATGCCAAGACCTTAAAGCAAATAACAAATAAAACTAATGTATGAAAGTCTTTAGTGAAAACACACAACATGAAACCAAAATTCGTTACAATCTATTGTTAAATAAGTATAACATACACATACGTAATTGGTGCTCAATTAGAGTAAAAATTTCATTTGGGGTAAAGAAAAAATGATAAGATAATAATTTCCAGTAAGTTAAGTTGATTTAACAACCAACAACAACAATCACCATCATTGGGAGGGATCTGAAAGAGGTTACTTCATTCACTTATCTAGGGAGCATTGTCTCAACTACAGGAGGATGTGAAATCGAGAGTCGGGAAGGCGAGAAACACATTCATCAACCTGAAACCAATCCGGAAGTTTTCGTCACTCACCATCAACAACAAAATCCGGATTTTCAATACAAACGTCAAGTCAGTTAGTTTTTCTATACGGATCAGAAACTTGGAGGGCGGGTCACAAAGAATATTTCCAATAGCCTGTTGCAGACCTTTATCAACAACTGTCTTCGCTTTATACTGAAGATCAGATGGCCGGGCCGGAAAGAATCACCAACAAGAAACTATGGGAACAAACAAAACAAGAACCAATCGCCAACCAACAAATATGCAGGAAATGGAGTGAAGATGGATTGGACACTCGCTGAGGAGGCCACCGCTGGATGACATCGCGCGTCAGGCCATTGCTTGAGTGGAACGCGAAAGGGAAGCGACGAGTGGGACGTTGGTGCAAGGGTAACATGGAGATCGTGTGAAGAGGGGTTGAAACAGTATGGACTAACATGGAAGCAGGTGAAAAGTACAGCAGAAGACAGAAGCAAGTGGAGACGTGCAGTTGAAGCCCTATGTTCCACTAGGAACCCAAGGGAACAATAATAATAAAGTTGATTTAAGACCTTAAAATATAACCCAAAGCATCAAATATACAAATGTCTAACAAGTTAACAAAATAGAGAATAAAACTAACTGTCTAGGGAGCAAAGAAATTATGAGCTGAAACTTTACCTTTGTTTAATAAATGACTGAATGGAATAAGTTTGTATTTAAACAATCATGATATAATTGCTTCCTCTGTTGCTGTAATAATAACAATAATATTCGACGGCTAGTAACTGTTAAGTAATTATGTTATATTCATCGCAAATAAGGACAACATACTTAGTTTATTAAACTTGGAAGATATTTGAAATATGGAGCACTTAAGAAGAAATGATCACCTCAGCCATAATCTCTGTTTTCGACATAGAACTTTGCACAAATGTGCGGAAGTTCAAGTCGCCACACTCCCTCCTTGTAGCACACAAAGTAAGAGAAGAAATTACAAGATAGGCATAATAGAGACAGTAAACAGAAGTGGGAGACAAAGGAGTAGTAGTAACGAAGAACAACATGGTTTAATTGGAAGTCAGAAGTCACAAGGAGTGGATGCGTCTGCGCCACTGACAACGATTTTGAGCCATGTCACCAATTGTTTCCAACCATAGATTTTTACCGTCCCGATGACCCCAACCTGGAAGTCTACACCTTCCTACGTGGCTTAGACCAACTGTTGTGGATTTCATTGACTGATGCCAAGTTTTTGTTTGACCGCCGCTAGCTTTTTTCCAGCCTGACCCTATATCCGCTAACATAGCTCGTCGAGGGAGGCGATGGCTTGGCATACGTAACACATGTCCTAACCATCTCAGTCTTTGTAGCTTCACGACTTCGTCGATTGATTTCCCTTGTTTACCTAGAACTCTACGCCTAACCTCAATATTGCTCACCTTATTATGCCACTTCACACGGGAAATAGAACGCAGGCACCTATGATCAAAGACAGCTAGTCTTTTCATGTCTTCCACTCTCAGTGGCCAGGTCTCACAACCATAAAGGAGGACGGAGCGGACTGATGAGCAGTACACCCGCCCTTTGGTCGATAGTCGAACATCTCGTCTACGCCAGAGTCGGCGTAAACTGGCAAATGCGAAACGAGCCCCCTGTATTCGTGCTGAGATTTCGTCAGAGATCAACCCGTTGGCGTTGGCTGATGGTACTTCCCAAATAAGTGAAGCGGTCAACGTGCTCTACCACTTCACTTCCTATTTTTAAACTAGGCGTCGATGTAGTCCAGTCCTGTAACATCATCTTGCATTTGGCGGGAGCGAATCGCATGCCAAACATTCGTAGATTGCGGCTCAAGGTGTTTAGAAGACTCTGCATTTCGTCAGCGTCTTCGCCTAGAAGGACTATATCGTCTGCATATTCCAAGTCAACGAGATTATTCCCCGGTAGCAAGTCAATCCCTGAGTCGCTGAAGTCACTTAGGGTTAAGTCCATTAACACATCTATGATGAAGTTGAATAGAAAAGGAGATAATGGGCATCCTTGACGGACACCACTGGTCGTCATCAGTTCAGATGACAGCTCGCCGTAAGCCCTCACCTGGCTGTATGAGTACGAGTAGAGTGCCTTAATCAGTGCAATATATTTTCTCGGAATTCCCTTTACAGCCAAGCATCTCCAGAGAACTTCTCGATCGACAGAGTTGAATGCTGCCTTTAGGTCAAGAAATATAATGACTGTTGGACGCCGGTAGGAATGCCTATGTTCTAGAATCTGTCGGAGGGTGAAGATATGATCAATACACCCTCTTCCTGGTCTAAAGCCTGCCTGGCTCTCTCGTGTTTGTGTCTCCCGAGCACCACTTAGTCTACGCATGATTATTGAGCCTAAGACTTTAGATACTATATTAGTCAAGCTAATCCCTCTGTGATTATCACAGGAAGACTTGTCTCCCTTCTTGTATATGGGGATAATCAGTGACTTACACCAACCCGATGGGACTTCTTCTGATTCCCAGACGCTGCCTAGTACCTCAGTTAATGCAGACAGTAAGCTGTCTCCACCGTACTTAAATACCTCTGGAGTCATTCCATCAGGTCCCGCTGCTTTGCCTAGTTTCAGATTGGTGACAGCTTTAGTAACCTCAGTTAGTGACGGAGGACCTGTGTCTATATCCCATTCAGGGAGGTGTTGGATGTTCGGAAGGTTGAGCGTGGCTGTGGGCCAATTAAACTGCTCCTCATAATGCTCTTTCCAACGATCCAGTCGTCTATCCTGGGAGCTAATTATAGTGCCATTTTTTTCCGAGATTGTCTCACTAATGATTTGTCTTCTCCCACCCGTTTCCCTGATGAGTCTAAAGAGTTGCCTGGTGTTGCCTATCCTCGAAGCTTTCTCCATCTCTTTGGCTTTTGTCACCCACCACTGTTCACGGTCCTTGCGGAGACTTTTCGTAAGTTTCCTTTTGTGCAGCTTTCGCTCCTCATTGAATTCGGAGCTCGCCGGAATAAGTCTTCTAGCATCTATCAGTTCGGATGAGGCGGTGGAGATCCAGTGGTTTTTACTCACCTTTGGGTTTACCTTATTCACAGCTTTTACAGCTGTATCTATGGCTGCCTGGATATTTTTCCAAGCTTCTTCAGGGTGAGCACAGCTGTCGAACACAGATATGTGTTTAGCTAGTTCTTCCTCAAATACGGATTTAGTTTCCTGATCGAGCTGGGGACGTGATGGTTTTACCGCCAGCTGTTTCCTACGTCCGTTCAGTCGTAAGCACACCCGAGCGCGGACCAGTGCATGGTCGGTATCTACACACGTGTTCCAGAAGGAGCGACAATCTCCTACCGACCCACGCCAACGATAGCTTATTGCTATGTGGTCTATTTGTGTCCAGCGTTGGTTTGATGAAGGGGGTCTCCAAGTCAAACAGTGTCTCTCCTTGTGTTTGAAGTTAGTGCTTACAAGAAACAAATGATTATCAAAACAGAACTGTAGGAGACGGTCACCGTTGTCGGTTCGCTGGCACGGAACTCCATAGGTGCCACCGACATCCTTCTCAGATTGACACAATTTCCCTACTTGAGCGTTAAAGTCACCAGCTAGAACGACTATGTCTGAGCGTTTAGCCTTTCTCACCAAACTAGACAGCTTTTGGTAGAACTCATCCTTCGTTTCATCTGAACTGCAGTCAGTGGGGGCGTAGGCGGAGATTACGAAAAGGCATCGGCGAGTAGTGCAGTCCTTCCTCCTTTTTACTGATCCGTTCAGACGGACAGCACACATTCGGCTATCTACCGGGATCCAGTCAAGCAATGTCTTTTCTGCCCTAGTACTCAAAGCTATCCCTACGCCAGCTAATCCTCGTGAACTAGCTGTGGCATCTCCTGACACCCTCAAGGTGAATTTTGCAGATTCAACCTGTTGGCCAGGTGGGGTTAGGTGAATAACCACACTTGGGTCTTGTATGCGTGTTTCTGAAACACAGCATACATCAATGGCTCGGGATGCCAGGGTCTTGGCTAGTGATGCTTGTTGTCCTATTTGGCAAAGTGTCCTAACATTAAAAGCTCCTATATGAAATTGGTGGCGCGGCTTTAAGAGGCTGTCGGTGGTGGTTTTTTGGCTTCCATCGTTTTTAGTGGACGCAGAGTGGAGAGGAAGTGGAGAGCTATCAAGTCGAGGAGTTGCATCAGTGGAAGGAAGGCAAGATGATAGAGATGATGAAGACAAAGATGAGTGAGTAATAGAGAGGTTTCGTGTGCATTTCGGATTGTGAGGGCGATTGTTACTTCCCGGCTGCCCACACCGTGGAAGTTGGTTGCGTGACCGCAGAGCCCAGGGGACAACTGCTTGGGGCCGGTCACACGCGGCCTGTTTTTGTTTGTTCTTTTTGTTTTGTGTGTCTCAGTAGCATATTTATCACTCCTGCCCTGTGACACGGCAGCAGGAAGCGCGGTCGTTGTTAATCCGGGCCACGGCCGATCCGGCATGAAATTTTGTGGTTTTCTATGTATCATGATGTTGGATTGGGTAGCTGCTTTTTGTTTAACCGCTATCCAAACAACCTGCCTGGCATGGTAGACCTCAAGAGACATAAGTCTCAGCCAGTATAGCTTGAATAGGTCATTGCGGTGTTCAAGCCCGACCACCACGTCAAGGTAGCAGCTTTCGGTTGGGTCAGCCATAATAGAAAAATAAACTGGGCATTTCATTCGAACAGGGTTAGTATTTTACAAAGTCTGTGAATAATATGTCCTACTTAAGGATTAGTATTGCTAACCACCTGTCCATTATCAAGAATACAGAAGAGAGTTTGAATCCACTGCCTAGTGATTTTTACCTAATACACAAGGCAATCCAAGACAAAAACGTCCAGTTTTTGTAACGCAACAAAAATAGGCACACATATAATGACAATCATCTCATCATACATTTGACGTGAATAAAATGAGAGGCACACATAGTAATACTACTAGGAAGGGTAAGACTTCAAAAGAAAAAAGAAAAGAAATACCTTCGAGTATACTGCAGCTTTTGACGACTTTTCATATAACCGTGTTGGAAAATATAACAACCAACCAGGATAAGGACAATTCTTTTCGTATGGTGCAAGTGGTAAGGCTTTTTGATTAAGAAATCCACTATTTATAGATTCAATTTCCAAAGAATCAGTTTGCTGAGAGAATCCAGCTTCAGATGAGTTCCATGTACGTGGAGATCTTGGTTGAAATGGTTTCCTTTTACTACCTGAGTCAGCTGCCAATTTACTTTTTGAATTAAACCTTCCCCTGAAAAATCTTCCACGAAAATTTGATCTTCTAGGGGCATTCTGATAATCAGAGAGGAATGTTAGACAGAAACAGAAACTGTTACCATTTCTCCAGAGGTATATTGTTTATTGAATTGTATCAGTGAGAACCAGATGAACCATAAGCTTGTAGGAATTGACGTTTACACCTTGATGATAACAACACGGTTGGAAGAAAAATATTAATATACGCATAGATGTCTGCGTAATGAACTGTGAGAATCAATTATTGTACGAGAGAAAATGACAATACATCACGTTCAGACGAAAAAACAACTTGAATCCGGTCGAGATGTGTCTTCTCGAACTTTTTAAACTAGTATCCCCTTTCGCACAACGCTTGTAATTTTATTTCATTTCGAGTAATGACGCAGTTAAGTACATGAGCAAGTTTCAACCAATTTGGTCACCTTAAAAGATAGATAAATGAACCAAAAAGGTTTGTGGAATTGAGAAATTTGATGTAAAACCTAAGTACAATGGTACACAATTATTCCGTATTTTTAGACAGACACGAAGATAGACGAACATTCAATAGCAAGATACATTGTCTGTTCAGTGATTGCTCTTACTGCTGATAAATTATATTGGTTTTGGTGAATAAATATTACTCAATATACATTATAAAAATTACCAATACAAAACTGAAACCATAGAACAAATCTTAATTAAGTTTGCTAACGATGTGGAAGTGAGAACAATTAGCAGCATAGGTTTCAATAATAAGAGCGAATGACCTCTTCCATTATATATCCCTATAAAAAAAGAACCATGAAGAGCTCCATTGTCTAGAACCATATAATCAATGGAATATGTGACACAGCAGATAAAAGGAATCATACCAGACACTAGAAAGAGAGACAGAGAAATTCATTTGCACTGAGATCCAGATTTCACCAAACAGCTGACAAATAATTCAGGACCAAATGAGAAGCAACCATCTATAAAATTATGTTTCCAAAACCTCAGCGAAATTGAAATGATTTATTCCAACTTTTCGTTCGCCAATCTGGTCCAAACTTTTTCAGGGAAATTAATCGAAATTAACCTAATAGAGGTTTATATATAAAAGGAACATCTCTTGTTTTTGAAACTTTATCATGAAACAGGTATAATAAACAAAAATTGTATGAACTGTGATCAAAATTTGACTTCACACTTTCAAATTAGTCTACTTTTGTTAAAATATATGTGTATATGCAGTATACAATGGTGTGTGTGCGTGAACAGTCATAAAACATTTGTTATTCTCTCCATAAGAAGACGTAGACAATCCGGAAGTTTGACCAAGTATGACTAATTGTTGATACATATCCCACTTTCATCTATTAGTCAGGATTTGCCATACATCAGCTAACATCACACCTTCACGTCTGTTCAAACTCTTGGGATTCACCCATATATGTAGGGCTTCTGCGGTCAGTCTTTCTTTATATGAGCCAAAAACTTTCTGTAGAACCTTGGCCTTATCAAAGTCGATTTTGTGTCCCGTTTCTATCGAATGCAGTGCAATCGCTGAGTTGTTTTTTAGCTTCTTCAAGTCTGAAGAGGTCTTTGGAACCACCTTTAGAGATTGTTTATGCTCTTCCACTCTTATATTTACCTGTCTGGAAGTTTCTCCTACATATACGGCGCTACAATCCCCACAATTGATCTGGTATACACAATTTCGCTGGTTTACTTGTTCTATTTTATCCTTAACCTTCACCAGTGATGAGCGTAAGGCGTTAGTTGCACGAAAATACACTCTTATGTTATAAATTGTTAAGGATTCGCTTTATTTCATTGGATGTTTCTTTGCGGTAAGGAATCACCGCTGTACTAACTCAATTCTCAGAAACAGGTTTCGATTCACCTTATCTTCACATTTTAAATATCTTTTTATGAAGTCTTTGGGATAATTATTTGATTCAAGAGTGGATTGAACCAATTTTAGTTCCTTGCTAATATCTTCCTCCTCAGTAACTAGACGTTTGGCTCTGTTGATCTGATTCTTGGCCACAGTTACCTTGGTGGTAAATGGGGGAGCAGAATAGTAGTCTAGATATCTATCCAAATTTGTCGGCTTTCTGAAAATGTTTATTTTAAATTGGCCATCTAATTTTCTTTTTACGAAACAGTCCAGGAACGCCAACTCATTCTCATCGGATTTAACCTCTTTGGAAAACTTAATAGTTTCTGACAAATTGTTTATTACGTGAAAAAGTTCATTTAACAAACTACGTTTGATTATGACGAAGGTATCATCTACGTGTCTCAATCACATCTTTGGAGGACTAGGGCATCTCATAATTGCATTTGTTTCTAATGAGTGCATAAACAGATTGGCGACTAGCGGAGATACTGCTGATCCCATACCAATGTCTTCTGTTTGACGGTAAAGAAGCCCTCTAAACGTAAATAACGTGGAACGAAGACACAATTCTAATGCCTTCATAATTTCGTCTGGATTTAAAGGACAACGACCACTGAGTTCGTCGTCAGAACAAAGTAAATTATAAATAATACTTAAAGAATCATTAACGGGAACATTCGTGAATAATGAATAAACATCGAAACTTGCCATTACTTCATCTTCTTCAATATGAGTCAAGTTTATTTTTCTCTTAAATTCATACGAATTCTTCACTTCATGCTTCACTTTCGTTTCATATGGGTTAAGTATTCAATAAATGTATTTAGAGAGTTTGTATGTTGGAGAATTAGTGAAATCCACTACTGGACGTAATTGAACTTCTGATTCGTGTATTTTTGGTAACCCATAAAATCTACAAGGGCTGCAACTTTTTGGAGCCAGAGTAAACCAAAGTGATACACCGAGCTTCTCCTTTATTGACTGTAACATTTTGCTTGTTTCAGCCTTCAGCTTATTTAATGTCGCCCTTGATTTTTTTCACGTTGAGTTTTTCATAAGGTCCGTCATTAAGATGATCAATGGCCTTCTTTTCGTAATCTGCAGCGTTCATGACAACCATGATATTGCCTTTATCTGCTCTTGTAATTATAATTGATTTATCCTGTTGTAGGTTTTTTTAATGCCAGTTACTCGTTTTTATTTATATTCGGCGCATTTGGCTTCTGGTTCAGTAGTACCGCTGTAATTTTGTGTCTTATGACATTTGCCTCTTCGGCTGTCACAGACTTTAACGAAGGTTCAACTGCTGGAACTACTTCAAAGGCTGATAAACGCCTTTTGTTTAGATTGAAATTAAGTCCCTTTTTAAGGAGGGATAGTTCATAATCTGATAAATTTCTATCAGAGAGATTAACCACCACTTTGTTCGTATCCAGAAAGTTATGACTAGACGGATTTTCAAATTGATGGTGTTTAAGATTAATGTTTAGTTGAAGTAACCTGTCAAAATTTTTGATTTGTCTTCTTTTTGAAGATAAAATTCCTCTTTAAACTTAAGTATGTTGTCAATGAGAGTCTTCAAATCTGATGTAACCAAGAGAAATAAAATTTCATCTAAATTGGACATTCGCATTCGAAATAATTCCATATTTTTGGTTGCTCTGTGAGCGCGTTCTCGTACATTTCATCAATGTCTACTTCTAACTCGGCGCTCAATTATTTTGGACAAATTATGTTCCGTCAAATCTTCATCACAGGTCATATGAATTATTTTGCAATCGAATTAAACGAATTACGAAAATAAGTTATGGGTACAATCATCGTATTTTCAATCTCCGTTGTCTAGAACAGAATGTGTATCCTAAATCCGTAACTGACAAGTCACTTGATAACTCTAGCAGATCGATTAAAGCAGCCCTTCCGCAACCAGAACCCTTGTACGAGAACGCGTTCACAGAGCAACCAAAAATATGGAATTATTTCGAATGCGAATGTCCAATTTAGATGAAATTTTATTTCTCTTGGTTACATCAGATTTGAAGACTCTCATTGACAACATACTTAAGTTTAAAGAGGAATTTTATCTTCAAAAAGAAGACAAATCAAAAATTTTGACAGGTTACTTCAACTAAACATTAATCTTAAACACCATCAATTTGAAAATCCGTCTAGTCATAACTTTCTGGATACGAACAAAGTGGTGGTTAATCTCTCTGATAGAAATTTATCAGATTATGAACTATCCCTCCTTAAAAAGGGACTTAATTTCAATCTAAACAAAAGGCGTTTATCAGCCTTTGAAGTAGTTCCAGCAGTTGAACCTTCGTTAAAGTCTGTGACAGCCGAAGAGGCAAATGTCATAAGACACAAAATTACAGCGGTACTACTGAACCAGAAGCCAAATGCGCCGAATATAAATAAAAACGAGTAACTGGCATTAAAAAAACCTACAACAGGATAAATCAATTATAATTACAAGAGCAGATAAAGGCAATATCATGGTTGTCATGAACGCTGCAGATTACGAAAAGAAGGCCATTGATCATCTTAATGACGGACCTTATGAAAAACTCAACGTGAAAAAAATCAAGGGCGACATTAAATAAGCTGAAGGCTGAAACAAGCAAAATGTTACAGTCAATAAAGGAGAAGCTCGGTGTATCACTTTGGTTTACTCTGGCTCCAAAAAGTTGCAGCCCTTGTAGATTTTATGGGTTACCAAAAATACACGAATCAGAAGTTCAATTACGTCCAGTAGTGGATTTCACTAATTCTCCAACATACAAACTCTCTAAATACATTTATTGAATACTTAACCCATATGAAACGAAAGTGAAGCATGAAGTGAAGAATTCGTATGAATTTAAGAGAAAAATAAACTTGACTCATATTGAAGAAGATGAAGTAATGGCAAGTTTCGATGTTTATTCATTATTCACGAATGTTCCCGTTAATGATTCTTTAAGTATTATTTATAATTTACTTTGTTCTGACGACGAACTCAGTGGTCGTTGTCCTTTAAATCCAGACGAAATTATGAAGGCATTAGAATTGTGTCTTCGTTCCACGTTATTTACGTTTAGAGGGCTTCTTTACCGTCAAACAGAAGACATTGGTATGGGATCAGCAGTATCTCCGCTAGTCGCCAATCTGTTTATGCACTCATTAGAAACAAATGCAATTATGAGATGCCCTAGTCCTCCAAAGATGTGA